TTCTTCTTTGTGAATATCTGGCCTTATTAAAGACTTGAAGCCAAAGGGTTGCAGGCTTTGGATTTGGCTGTCTGCGACTTCTACACCGACTGTACAAGCCCAGAAGAAAAGACATGTGGTAAGACTCAACAGACTCAACACAAGATATACTGTACTTGGGCAAAGGGACTGGACAATGAATATGCTCTGGATTGGGGAGATGGATTGTCTAGTTGTTCATGTGGAACACAACATGAAATCTCTCTTGGTGCATGAACTCGTGTCGACAACATCTAGTTCTCAGTTGCCCAGGAATCTTGCCAAGCTCAGCTGTGGTTGCACAACACGCTCTGACGGTAGCAACTCAGCTGGCTCAACGGGGGTGTGAAGCGAGACTAGCTTCGGGGCGAACAGGCGAACACCCAGGGCGAAGCCCAGTGTGCCAATGGTGTCATTCCAATGGAGCAGCACGGAAAATGGATCCATGGCTGTTCAATGGATCCGTGGCACACGGCAAAAGGATGGGGGTTTAAGCATCCCACCATCACCTAGTAGTACCAATTGGCGGTCAGTGAGACTTGTCAAGAAACGGGCATAAGCAGGATGACATGAGGATGACATCACCTGCGAGCCACAGGACATCATCTACTTCTCTTGCTTTATCCAAAGTCTCTCCTTCGCTTTTGTGCGACCCGGTTGTGAATCACGGTCGGATTATGTTCCACCATGGACAAGAAAAGTTGCAAACTGAGCTCTGGATGGATCGACATTGGCTGGTTCTCCTCCTCGCCACTTTCCGAATGGATCTGAATGACTTCCCTGAAGGCTACCCTCTTCGCTCGCATCACTGGCATCGCCTCGAGTCAAGTCTTTTACAACAGCACCGCTGGCAGCGGATGAACAAACCAATACACAGCCCCTCGCGCCAAAGCACGCCGAAAAGGAAGCCATACCGAAAACGATTACCCTGACATCAGTCAAACAAAATTGCTGGATTGTGTTGGGTATGCTCCAAAGGGGGATACTTCAACTTTGAAGCAAATGGGGCGTGAAACGACATCAAGTGTTGAACATACCAGCCACATCTTCAGGAAGTAGCGCGCCCTCTTTGCCAGCAGTGCACCCCATAGCACTAAGAATGTTGACCGCCCAACCCTCCCAGCCACAGGAATGGCTTGAACTGCAAGCGCTAAATAGAGTCATTGCAAACATACGATATGATGCGACGATGCGATATGAATATGCGCATGTCTGACACTCATGCCATGCGAATTGGCTGACCCATCCGCATCATCCAAATGTGTTTTTTTCCGCTGCACGGAGTCGACGTCAACGCATTCTTCGGACCGCACCAGGCTTTGCACCAATAGCCTAGGCCAATACTGCTTCCCAAAGCTCATTTTCCTCTCTCTCTTTCTCTTTCTTTTTGTTGTTGTTGGTCGAGGCCCTGTTTGGTTCATTTTGGTTCCAGTCATTCTGAAGCTGTAACGTGTCCCACTTGTGACATACGGCTGGCAAATTTCGATGTTAATGTTGACCATCCGCAAATATTCAACTACTGCAGGTCCTTGTGCACCACACAGTGCAAGCAACCCCAAACACCGCAGGCATTCATTAATTAATGCAACACTTTAAAAGGATGATACACTTCGGTGCACGTGCAAATTCGAAGTCCCGGCGATCTAAAACAACACAACACATACAGTATAAAGAATGAGAAACCATCCAGCTTGGGATGCCGTGTATTTGGGATCTTGTAGCTGCTAGTTGGCCTGGGTAACAAAGAAGTCTTGGAAATTGGATTGAGTTGGGAGTTACTGAAATTGGCAGTTACGGCTGCTCAAGCAAAAAGGAGATCTGTTACAGCTGTCTAGCGCAAAATTGCTTATAGTAAAAACAAAGAAACGGCAAGTGAAAGACTGGGCAAATGAAATCCTCATGAGTGTGCAGCTTGGTACAGTGCTTCAGCCCTGCCCTTTTCTTTGCAGTACTCTCAGAGCTTGGCAGAATCCAATGAACCTCTCCAGCAAAACATGCGCAAGTCTGCAATCGAGTCTAAACTCGTTCTAAGATTCCATCTCTTTATTGCTGTCAACATTGGTTGCACTCCCAAAAGTTTCAGAGTCTGAAACAGCCAAGGATTCCCAGATTCTGGGACTTGCACATAAGGGACTTGCATGCATTTGGATGCTACTAGGAGCAAAGGGCATCGCTACTAGGAGCAAGGACGCTACGAACGGGGCTCCTGGCCTTACTACTAGGAACAAGATGGAACAAGTAGCTACTAGTAGCAAAGGGCATCGCTACTAGTAACAAAGGGCATGACTACTAGTTACTAGTAGCATTCTTACTATTAGGAACAAGGACGCTACTAGTAACAAGTGCCTCGCTTCTAGGAACAAGTGCCTTACTAGTAGTAACAAGAAGCTATTAGAATTCCTTTGCACGAACCGTTTGCAACTCTTTTCGTGAGTCCACCACGGCGCCTCTGGGCCGAAGCGAACGTCGACCTGGAGTGGGAGGTTAAAGGCTCGATTTCGATCATCACAAAGGGATTGTGGCTTGGAAAAGAATGAAGGCCGGGGACTTACAGGCTTGGTCTAACTTCTTTTAGGGTTTAAAATGGGCTCCCTATTTTTGAGCAATGACCAAATAGAGTTAGAGAATAAAAAGGTCTTACCGCATCTCCTGCAAACATTTTGTGGTATTTGTTGGGCGGCATTCCTCAACCTCCTGCCAAAGGCAGTCAAATGTCAAGTTTTGCTTCTTGCGTAAAGGATTTGACCAGCACCTGAGGGAAAAACACGCCTCTTGGAAATGGCGTTCGCCTATCATCAGAAGGTCGCAAACAATTCCGTATAGGTCACCTTTTGGTTTTTAGACGGGAGAGCTATGATCAGGAAGGTCATGAATCTGTCTCAATAAACAGGAAACCCATGGACATCCTCTGGGATGTGTTCGCCTTTCATGATCATCTCCACGTGGCTGAGTTGATGATCCACCCCGAGCCACACCTTCAGGAGCAAACTCGAAGGTCACTGCTCCTTCAGCCTGGCCGAAACTTTGCCACGACGTTTCCATGTCAAAGCGGCCGCGCCAGCAGTGTTGACCCCGAGTGCTGACCAGTGTCAAAATTGCCAAGAGGCTCTAACTTGTGCTGCAAAAAAAAACAACATAAAAAATGCAACCTTTGGGTATAGTGGGGGCTTGGGATAATATTACAAGTAGCCGACATTTCCAGGAGTATTGAACCATGATCATGATCAATCAATTATCCTGAAGCTCTGGTGACGACTGGAGGTGAAGCTCCATCCCGAACTGGACAACATATGTTTGAGCCACTAAAGGGTCGCCTGCTCTGGATAATTAATTTCAGAATCAAGTACTGGGGGACTACAGCAGCCTTTCATTCATGGTGGTGTTTGCAATCTAGAAGCGTATGGTGCCGCTAATGGTCAAAAACCGCTCAATCGAAAAGTGCCCTTGCTGCCTCCATGCTCAGTAGCCCGCAGTCACGCAAGAATCTGCCAAACCTAAATGCGTGACACCGGCAACTCCAAACCCTTATAATAAGCACATCAGGCTTCAAAGACTTTCTTATCGAAAGCTGAGGGAAGGAGTCTAGAGTCTTGGTTGCCTTCATATTGGAAGGCACCAGCAAAGTCATTGGTTGGATGTTGGATAGTTTTGGAGATAGGAAATAACTTTTCGGTCCATAATATGTCCAAGTAAGGGTTGAACTACCTATATAAGCGTCATGCTGGACACTTGGAGATCAGTTTAGGTGGGCTGGTTCAGTGGTGAGCAACGTGCAAGGGGAGCCAAGCGTGAAATAGTCATAGTTGACTAAGTACAGCGATTAATTTGACTTTTAAACAAGAAACATCATAACAATGCTGAGCGTTGAGGTAGCTAGGGTGGCTGAGCCTTCAACCGGAGCGCCCAAAGACTGTTTTTAGCTAGTCGCACAATGATTCATTGATCAGGTGAACCAAATCGTGATGTGAGGTAAAGAAGTGATAAAGTGACAATAAGCTAGCTAGCTAGTGCAGCAGCCAAGTAATGGTTCACTCACTGAGACTAAGCTACTGCGACGTAAGTCGGTGGTTGAGTCTTTGGTTTTACAGCCGACTCGCCAGCGGACCGGCGGAATGGAACACGACTGTGTATGCGACCAGCCATTTGCCTTTATTGCCGCCCAAACACACACAGAGAGTGACTACCAGGTTCAAAACAACAGCCGGATTGCTAGCTGCTTATTTTCAGAATATTGCAGGGTATATATTGAGACGTCTATTTTGATGGGCTTGTGCGGCCGTCTCCTCTCACAAAGCTTCCTGTGTGAATCATTTGCGTCTGGCGAACTAAGTTGGCCAAGTCCTCGGAGGAACCTTTTCACCCAAAGTCTTTGAGTTCCTCCCACCAAAATTGAATCCTGAATGGCATGCTGAAACATTTCTCAGTATTCACTGCTGATGTGTCCTTGTTGGACCCGCAAGCGGCCGACTTCTGATCGCACGACTCATCCTCCACCGTTCCACCCGATGGCTCGCGCCTTTTGCCGGTGTTGGACCCTCCAACGAGGGTCAAAAGTTTATTCGGAAACTAAAAGGTGATCTTCAGGAGTCTTCAGGAACCCCAAGGTTTTCTTCGGAAACTAACCTTCGGCAACTAGACGGTGTTCCAAAAACAAAGTGTCCGAAGAACGCGAAGACTAGGTTCTGAAGACTAGTTTCTGAAGAGCAGTTGCGGAATAATACCAAATTACGGAAGAACAGTGTCAGAAGAACGGAGAGTTAAGGACAAAGTCGGACTTTGTTCCTCCAAGGAGCTTCTGCGAGGTGAGCGTGGTGCGGTTCAACGGATCTGCCAAAGAAGCATAGTGCCTGGCGGATGCGAGACCGTGAGATCCGTGGGATACCAGACGCAGCCGGGCTGGACACGAAACGACACGTGTCCGGCTGCTACATCCTTGAGGATTGATTCAAAGGTGGAGAATTTAACTTCAGGGTATGTCAGCAGCACAAGGAACAAAAGCGGAGCCAAGTCACGTGAGCAATGCTTGGACAAGCTGAGGCATCTGGATCTATATTAATTATTTGTTGCTGGACCAAACAGTGACAAGCAACTGTCACGCTAGACTAGACGTGCTAGCTTGACCCGAAGGTTTTCTGGATCTCTGCGTGAGCCCACTCCTTAGTCAGCGGTCTTCACACGCTTTCAAATGGTGATTGGCATGGACTGTCATTGGCAAACTTGGATTTCAGTTCCAGCATAGTTTGCCCTTGCATCCTTTGTACAACAGACCGGATGTCGCTTGCGACATGAAGAGCGGGGGTTGTGTTCAATGTCTAGGCAACGCTTCGGCATATTTGTTTGTTCGAAGGTCTAGCTGTCATTGGCCACCAACTAGGTTGCGGTTCCCTAGGTCGCCTGGTCGCCTGGGGACGTCTTGTTGCATTCCCACCACCGGATCAATGTGTTTTTCATTTCGTGACTTGAGCGATCCGTTTCAAGAACTGGGAAGGTTTCACCTTACCCAAGGAGCGACGCCAAACAAACTGACAGACTCGGCGCTTGAGCGCTGGATTGACATCAGAGTCAACATTCATCTTTGATTTCTTATGGGAATTGCTCCGCACGAAATCTTTCATAGTTCTCCACTCCCTGTTTTTGGGCCCCTGGTTCGCTGTTGCTTCTACTTGGTTCTGTTAGTGTTATGCTCTTACTGCATGAACATGCCAATGTATTTGGCTCAAGGTACTTAGTGCGTGCGTGAACAGCCGCTCACTCCCCTTCGCTCACTCGCTCTTGCGCACTTTGTAGGGTTGTAAGCTAGATGCAGGGATACTGTGTAAACATGCTGCCACTGCGGGGGATTTGAGCCTCACCCCAACCTCTCTAATTTGTGGTGTCCTAGGTCCCCTAGGCGTGTCTACGCTATACGTGTGTAGCACCTGTTCTCAGTGCATAGTTTGTATAGCTCCGTATCTAGACTCTTCGTACAGCTTTCAGCTTAATTCATTCCTTCACTTTTGGCTCAAAATTGAAGCCCGCACACACTGATTCGATCAGGTCCAGTGTTGTTTACTTCACTGCCACTTTGGGGGACTTACCCTCACCCCCCTCCTCCCTCTTGGTTCGGCTTGCTCATCTGACACCAACGCAACCAACTCCTACACTCAAATGTTGTGTGTATCGCTCTCCCCAGTTTCTCTGTGGGAGTAAACCACAAAAACACTGCAAATACCAGCACAAATGATGCAAAACGCTATAAAGCACCCAGGCGACCTATGGAACGTGGATGAGCCTTAGTCAGTCCCACTAATGATTTTGATTACTAGTAGCTAGAAGCTATATTAGGTAGGAGGCCATCGCTAGTAGGTTGGAGGCCATTACTACTAGTAGCAAGAAGCTACTATAGTAGCTAGAAGCTATTAGGTAGGAACCCACCCGGCTGGAACTTCTGAGTCACACGGCTGGAAGCACCGCAGGCCGTGCACGATGAGCACCATCCGCCCGCGACTGGGAGCGGGCTGCGCGCGTGACACTGGTGCGCCCGGTGGACTGGGAGCGACGGTGCACCTGGCGTTGAGTCGGCGACACCGGCTGAAATCCAGGATGTCCATGGACTTGAATCAGAAATTAGCTGACACATCTTGGATTTCCAGCGCCAAATGGTGCTTTTCTCCCCAACCTCCACGTAAGAGTTGCGCCGCACCTTGCCCTCCTGTGGCTCCTTGACCGAGAGACGAATCGAAGAGGGGGCCGAAAGGCCAGTAGCATCACACCCAAACACTCCATGTATGAGATATGTGCCTACATGGATCCCATCAACCGCCTCAACTGATCGGCATATATATATATACCATACATGGAGTGCCTGGGACATATTGTTGTAGTGAGCCGGGATGCGTGTTGATGTTTGGACATGTTAGGCATATCATCGCATTGTCAGTAACAGTGGATGTCGAGGCTTAGTGAAGGTCTTTCCTTGATATAGTTTAAGGTGCATGGGCTGCATGGCCTGTCCCACAAGCACCTGCCAGCCAGAAGCCACAAGTCTATGAGTTTGATTGACAACGGCCATTGCGACCAGTGATATACATATTGATATTCATCCTGTACTGTGTCCCTGACATTGATCGACCAATGATCGACTAGTTGGTTTTCCCTGATCCATTGATGGCACACTATATGGAGACCCCATGTGCTCCACCCTCCTCTCCTGCACCTTCGGCTCCAACTCTTCGCCCCGCAGCTCCTTATAGAAGAATCATTTTGATGTGGGCAAATGGATTCGAGCCAAAATGCCGCCGCCCCTTTCGGGCTGATCTGGAAGAATCAGCGGAACACCGGCTGGTTCTTGTGCATTTCATGTCTTCAATGATGAAATTATATTATATATCAAGTGTCCTTTGAGGAGCGATCCCATCTCAACTCGTGCCAACACGTTCGTCCTCGGGCAACTTCTCCATTTCCGGCAGAATGCGGAGGCTCACAGCGCCTGCAACCAACCGGTCAAGTGGCTTGAGAGGATGAAGGCTGTCGGTCGCTTCGCTGTCAGCTCACTTGTTGCGCCCACAACTTCTACCCTCCAAGTGGATGGACATGCAGGAACATGGCAAAAGTGGTCCGATTTCTCTTTTTCCCTCCTATTGCTTTTCTATATTTTCCTTGGTTCCCGGACAGCCCTTGGGCGCTGAGCCCGGGAAAGACTGACTGAAGAGCACCCGTCCCTCACAAGCGCGACGGCTGGGCCCATGGAGCGACTGGATTCGGCGCTCGGGCATGTGGGCCCAACATAAATAATATAGATTATAAAACATAAATAGTTGCACACACACATATAAAAACGTTCATTCTTTTTTAACTATATAAAGTTTCATTAAAACGTTCCTTTATATAAATCTTTAATATCTAGAAATTAGATTGGTTGGATAGGGCTTTCGTTGGATAAGCACTCTATAATCTTCATGAAAGTGCCCTATCCAAGAAACAACACTGAACATAGCCAAGGACAACATGTTCACTATAGGACAATTACGGACAATTGTATATAGAATTTGAATTAGCAATCCGAGAAATCACAACATTCCTCCTCTGCTCCTACATTGACTTCTGGCTCCTCACCGCCCACTCTTGTGACTCATGTAACGATGGCTAGATGTCGCGGTGAGTATCAGGTGGGTACGGTACTTTGAATCCCGTTGCCCATGTTCAGAACTAGTTTTGCAAAGCCTTCCAATTTGACTTTGTTGTATTGCACAGGCCCAACTTGTCATTCCAAATCCTGCCTCTGCCAAGCATTTTGAATGGTCGGTCATCCTTGCATCCTAATTGGAAAAGTATTGTGCATCCCTCGGCATTGTGGCCAAAAAACCATGAGGGGCTCAGGGGCTCACATTATGAATCTATGAATCAGTTCCCAGCCATGTGTTAAACGGCCGCAACTTCAAGCGCGCGCCCAACATGGCCTTGGACGCGTCCATCCATTGCATCAGCCGCACCAGCGACACAATACCTGTGAGAGATTGGTCCGGTGGAGTCGGTGGAGTCCACCGACCCGGCAGGAGCGGCAAAATGCTAGGACTCAATGCCAAAACAAACTGCCCAGACTTGCAAAGGCCTGCAATGGCTGGTGTTTGTTCTTTTCCCCTTTATTCTCCACCATGCCTGGACTTGCAAAGGCCTTTTGAGCCATGACGGGGAAACTGCAGGCGAAATGGCTGTACCTTGGGCGGTATGGTGATGCTGGATGACTGACGTTCAGGAAACATCTTGAGCGAACATTTGGCATTGACCTCGAAACAATCCAAAGGTTGATCTACACTGTGGCATTGGGCATGTTGCAACATGTCACCAACGTGCTTCTATTCTAGCAGGAGGTTCCAAAAAAGAAACATACGGCTGCTAAGCACATACAAGCACTTCAATATCCTTTTCTTAACGAAATGAGTTGGGGCCTCGAATGTAAAGTTGCCAGCAAGTTGGGAGTATGGCAACTTGCCACCGTAAAATACTACTGCCACCCAACAAATTCCCACCTTCCACTCTTGGAAAGGCTCTCGAAGACTTCAGCTAGGCACCTGCATTGATGGGAATGGCTTCAAGCACTTCTACAACAACTTCCGTCGCACCACCATCGACGCGTGCAAAATTACTCCATCCCCAGGACGTTTTGTATGCATATTCATCTGTGGAGTCTTTCTCTATGTTCCCGATGGCGATCTTGGTGCGGAGCTTCCATCCCTTAGGCGCTTGAAAGTAGAGGGACATGAAGCCCTCCGAAGCTTTGGTTTCTCCCCGGGGATAGAGCTGCACTTGAAGGTCAGGCACATTCATCCTGGTAAACTTCTCGCTGCAAATAGGCTCCCCCTTCATGAACTTCTTGTCCGCAATGTGCTTCCCAAAATCCCACCGAAACTCCTTCTCCGCTGCAGTCGCTGCTGGCTGGCACAGGAACTGAGCGGCTTCGGTGGCATCCACCCTCTCCGAGGTTGTGCGCTTACCCTTCTGGACAGGAAGGGCAGCAGTCCGCAGCTTTAGCAGCTCCCCCTGTCCAAGGAGAACAGGGTTTGCACCAACGTCCCAAGGCCCAAGGTGTTGTTGAGTGTCAATTGTGTCTGAGCGATATCGACAGTGCTAAATAATGAGTGATCTACATTACATTTAGGAAGACCCCAAACGAGGCAGGTGGGAAAAGCGACTTGTCATGCATCTGCTTCCCTGGCCTTGAAATCTGACAGCGCCTCGATCTTCTTTTTAAGATCCTCCTGGCGACGCACCATCGTGTCATCCTTTGGAAAGAGCTCAGGCAATTTGGAGCGTAGTTCCCGCCTCCAGGTTTTACCTAGCTCATCTGCCAGCTGATCCACCATGAACATCTTTATGGCCTTGGCTGCATTTTCACCGAAAGCCTTGATCATAATCGGTGTGTAAGCGTGAAGGGAAAAGCATGTTTCATAGGCCGGCAGCTTGACTGGATCTTTTTGAGCCTCCGCAACCAAGGCGGAGAGCTCATTTCCTGGGCTGGTCGTACCGTCAGACACTTGCTTGCGAAACACCTTCAGTTTCTTCTGAAATTCCTCATCTATGGGAGTGATCACTCCCTGCGCCTCAATCAAATGCCCACAAAAGCTTCGAGCTTTGGTGGTAAGCTGTTCAACGCACTTCTCTGCGGTTGCCTCGAGATGGTTGCAAAGGCTGCCATGGTTTTCCGCATGTGCTTGAGTTACATGCTGGACAACCTTCTGCACGTGCTCGCCCACATCCACGATAAGGCAATTGACAGGCTCTTTCAACAGTGGCTGTGTCACATATTTCAGCTTGATGAGAGTCATAAAGACTTGGTGGCCAGACAGGTTTTCCACAGTGTGGCCTTGCCCAAAGTCATTCACCATGCCATACGCCTTATCAATCATGTCCTTTTCCAGCCACTTTGGATTTTTTGATTGCAAGTCCTCCAGAAAAGCCTTGATCATCAAAGAAACTCTTGGGGCAATCGTGAATTCTTTGTCGGCATCCTCTTCGCTCACAAACTCAGCACGGATTCGTCTTGTCAAATCACCAAGGATGTTTGCAAGAATCTCGTTGAACAGTTCGGACTGCTCATCATCAGTTGTGGGCTGGTCTGGAAGCTGGCCTAGTGCTTTTTTGAGGTCAGTGAGCTTTTGGCGCACCGCATCTTTGATCTTGGGAAGGCACTCATCCACTCTGGCCTCTTGAATCTTGGCAACCTTTTCCATCAGCCGGTGTGTGCCCCAATTCTTTTCTGGAATCCTCTTCAGCCGATCGCTCCCAGTGAAGACCCTTCTCTCCTTGGCACGAAGATCCTCGCTGCTCATGTTCTCATCGATGTTCTTCTGCGAGCGATTCACCACACAGTGAAATCCTAGCTGAAGTTGGACATCCGTTGCTCTTGACATCAAGACCTGCGGCGCTTGTGGAGTCATTGAACGCTTGCAAGTTATACCCGGCAACTAATACACTGTCGGACACTCACCAAGGATTTGAGACTCCGTCATGTACCCAAGTTGCACACTCCCTGTTTATATATGCTCACACCAAGCCTTCTCTACAATGTCTGACACTTCGGCGTTGGCCGCATCATCGCATTTGGTGACGACTCCCAAGGTCCGGAGGCCCTCTGGGTCATACTTCCGGGCCAACTTCACCACCTGTTGAACACTGCTGGCACGAATGGGGCTGGGCCACAATCAGAAGGACATCTACACATTTTTAGCAAGCCTTCTATATATACCGGCAGTGAGAATCTGATCAGCTAGATTGCTCTGCTCAAGAGAAGCGAAGCGGACTCGCCCTTTTCGTGAGGGCAAAGCTCGATCGCTCAGCCAGTGAAAACTGTGCACCTAGCGGTTTGAGCTCCTGCTTGTTGACCTTGTTTTGTGTTTTGTGGCTAGTGCATCCGCATGGTAGCAGAGCCTGCCAATTGAGCAGGCTCCATTGGTGCCATGGCGGCCTCGTCGAACGGTGGTGATGGCGGTGTGGATTTCGATTATCAAACCTGGGATGGTTCTTGGGAAAAATGGCTTGAATATCAACTGAGAGTTGAACTTCGCCGATGGTGTGAAGGAAGAAGAGTTGACACTTTTGGGACCTCGATTAGCTTCGAACCTCACCGGACGTGCTTTCGATGCCATAGCTGAGATAGATCCAACAGCTCTGAAGAAGGCTGACGGCTGGAAGTGCTTGTTGACATTCCTGGAAAAGACTAGGGGCAAAGGGCAAAGAGAAGGGGCACCTTCTGGGAGAAGGACACCTAACAGCGTGACGGAGAAGAACTTGCTGACTATGAACCCCTCTTCAAGGCTCTGATACGACGCTTGGAAAAGGCAGGAAGTGAAAAACCGGAAGAAGACCTTGAGACAAGCCATGATGGTGGAAGAGACCGAGAATGCTGAAGGTGAAGTGTTCCTGTCATTGAAGAAGACGAAGAGGAACTTTTGACGGAAGAGATGACTGAAGCTGCTATGTATCAAGAAACTCTGCATAGATTCATGAATGATCCAGATGATGCTGATGTCTCGGCAAAGTTCAAAGATGCTCGAAAGGCTTTGGACCAAGAAAAGACTGCCCATGGCTGCCGTGGCTTCTATCCAGTCCGCAATCCAAACGTCAATCACACCTCATCTGGCATGCAACAAGGGAGAGGTGCAGGTAAGGCATCAACCTTCACGCTGACAAAGATTGCGTGCCTTGTGGGAAAAAAAGGCCACATTGCTCGTTTCTGTCCGCAACGGATGGATTGAAGAGGAAAATGAAGATGATCAAACCAATAAGGTGATCTTCCAAGCGAATGACATCTTCAATGCCAGTGGACAATCAGCAGCCCACATCGTTGCTGAACTTTACGAGCAACTGGGTTTTTTTCCCAAGGACAGGAAATTGAAGTGAATCGAACTATGCACAAGAACTTCATCTATACGGGAGTGATCATAGCAGTGCAACCATGGGACTTGCACACACCAACATCAGAGTGCTGGGAAACGAGAAGGTGATAGATGTGCACGTTGTGGATGGAGCTGCTGAGTGCAAAGTACTTGTTCTTGTATGAAATGAGAGCCCAAATCAATTTCCGCAATGCTGAAGCCGTCATTCCCGAGGTGTCAGAAAAGTCTGTCACTCTTGAACGGGGACCAGGAGGTCATTTGTTGCTGCCCATCACTGCATTTGCTGGTCGGGAACATGTGATGCCAATAAGCCCTTGAACGAAAAGGGCGAGTCAGAGCTGTAGGGACAGCTCCACAGTTCTGAGTTGCGGAGGGGTGCCTAATGTGTATATCCCTTATGCAACCCCAGAACAGATTTCTTGAACAGTCAAGTCAAGTGCCTCACATCTAGAACTTAGCACCTTAAGACATGAGAACTCAGCAGTAGTTACCTGTTCAGGTCGCAAAGCAGCTCCGCCTCCGCATTCCCAAAGTCCGACATGGCAGGGATCACACATAGAATTACATTCTCCTCCGGCTCGATGTACTTCTCGACCAAGCCCGCAGTGACCTGCTGCTCTATAGAACGCTTGTGGCTGGGTGACATGGATGTTCATTCATTCTGTCCACCAACACACGGCCAAAGCCACTCAGTATGACCATCCTGGAGGTCAACACGGAGCCGGCCCCAAACAGAATGGTTCGTAAACAAGGTGAATCTAGTGTCGAAAGGAGTGTGTTCTGGTGCTTGCAAGTGCAGGAATGAAGACTCGATTCACCACCCACACCCCGTGCTCACTGAAAAGCATCTCCCAAACTTACATAATTGTTGTGTGTTGTTGTTGCTGTTACGAGTACTATTGTTATGATTGTGTGGGGGGGTCTATTGCGGTACCAAAGATGTGCTTCTTTATGCAGTATATATATATATATATGCATGTTCTTACTAGATCTATTGGTTGAGAGTATTGATTTGGTGGTCTCATTTACTGAGGCTGCTTTGGAAAGTATTATTCTTGCAGTCCTTTGACCCAAAAGCGAATCTGCTTAGCTTAGCCCAGCCCTGACCGAGAAAAATGGAAATGGTTGCTGAGAAAACTCCTCGTCAATGGAATGCGACTGCATAATTCGCAGAGTTGCATTGTACAGGCTCATGCGACACCTAATGAGAAAAGTACAGTAATTTGGGGGATGCATGGCAAGTCCTTCTTGTTCAGTGTAGACTAGGCACTGGAGGTCATAGGAGCATGCACACATCTGGGATGGAGCATCCATTGACAGGGACATCTTCCTGTCTTTGACCAAGGAATCTGTCTATATACAGTATGTGACTCTGGGAGTTTTCTTGGTTTCTACAGAGCAACTGGATTCTACGTGACCATATATAATATACTTTGCCATTGCCATGCGGCTGAATGCAGAAACTGGAAACTCTTCCCTCAAATAGATAGAACAGCTTAAATCCCCACTAAGAATGTATAGGAAACCGTTTTCTATTTATTTGATTTTATTTGGGACCGCCACTGTATAGACTCTTTGTATAGACTCTTTGGACATTGAAACGCCAGAGTACTAACACTCACCGACTCCAGGCAATCCATCCTAACTAATTACTGGATAAACAACCATTACCATTATAACACACTTCGATGAACACACCGAAAGCAAGCGACTGCGCCTCGTGGATGTTGCGCATTTGATCGGCGTTGTGCGTCACCCCGGGCAAGTCGATCAGGGATAGCTGGGACCCCTTGTGGCGCACCACCCGCACATACAACGCCTTGCAGCCAAACGACGAAGAAAAGCAATCAACACAAATACGAATTGGATGGTGATACTTTTGGAATGAAACACAATCTGCATCCATTTACATATTGATGGTGATCCTTCCGTGAAGCATGTCAACATCATGAGCACGGGTTGCTAGACTTGAGGATGAGCCCTTGATGTCTTGCGACTCCACCAAGCAGTGAGACCAACCAAAGGCCTGGCTTGAGATGAAGTCAGCACCAGTCGCATATTTTTCGGTGAGCTGCTTGATCTCTCCCTCAACTTGGGCCACTGTGCACTTTCGTACCTTGTGTGAAAGGAAAGACACCGAACCAAGCAACAACAGACTGTGACAAGGGCTGATCTCAACAACAACAACAACAACAACAACAACAACAACAACAAC